ACAACGTTTACGCGATTTCCACCTTTTATGCGCGTCCAAACATGCTCGACTCACAACCACTGCATGGGCTTCACACTCATATACTCTTAGGTACTGTGAGGAGGCAAACAGCATCGCCAGTACTAGCGACCATAGATAAATGATAAAACCTACCGCCTAATCGTCTCCCAATTGCTAAACCTCCCTTTCTACAAGAAAATCAAAATAGATGGTTTGTCAGGGGACAACAACTTACCGAATTCTGTGCTGAGACGCCGCGCACCTCAGAATACAGAACAGAGAACGTCCTACTTTCTACTAAGGGCATCACGCGTCCCCTTTTGAGCAACGCAGTCTACTTCATGCACAACAAACGTTTGCACGAATATTGCAGAGCATTTGTACAAATGTCGTAACATGGACCTCCAACGACCTCAACACCTGACCTTTGCAAACCATGAATCAATAACATAGGGCCGCGACATAAATTCCCGTTGGCCGAGGACCCAATGAGGACGCAAACACCGACCGGTCAGTTAGCCGAATGGGCTTACCGTAACCCCAACGGACTGCAGCCATTCGTGGCCTTCACCGACGACTATGCAACACCTGGACGTCTGCACTACAACGTTCCACCACCTCATGTGGAAGCAAAGAGATCCTCCCTTCCCATTACCACCGCTTCTCGTTCCATGCAGTGGCGGGGCTACAATGGATCAAAACCGTTCTTCACACAGCAGCCACCACCAGGTGCTGCATCCTTCCTTCTCAACGGTGGCTACGCACCTCACCGCACCACCACTGACTCTGTCATCAGCAGGCAGACTGATCCTCACCAAACCACTCTGCTCTGCAACAGCATGAGCTTTCCCGTCACACCGAACACTTTCAGAATGCGAAATGTGACCACTACAGAAATCCACCCCAGTCAGATGAAACTCCCAGATTCACGAGTGTGGCGATTCGATGGTCGCAGCCATGACTTCCCGAAGACGCCCTGTTGAGTTGGGCTTCATCTCGGATTCTCCTTCCTCGGCTATTGCCAGTTAAATGACATACGTTCGGCTTACACGCTACTCAATCCCCAAGCCTCACACTCCTTACCCGTAAACTACCTCATCCGCTTCACTTAATGCTTACAAAATAATTAGCTACTTCACAATGCAAAAGGGATCGAAGTTATGTGATTCTAATAGTCATACTTCCCTCTACTCCACCATGCTAAACCGTAAATCCGACTTTTACAGTTTCCAGGAATGTCAATGGGATGGAAGTGTCCCACGCAAAAGAGACAGTTTACTACTTTATAAACTACTACTTCCGACAATGCAAGCACACTGAACCTCGG